AAAAAGGAAAATTTTAATTAAGTGTCATTTCCGGTTATCGTAACACAAAGATATGTCTAGTAATTTCTTTTCTCGTTCCTTTGAAATTTTTTACAGCAAATGCCAATGGCAAAAAAAAGATATCACGAGAAAATTTGATTCAATAACTAGGATAATATTAAAGGACCCATGAAATTTCAAATGATTTTGGTTAGGTTAAAAAAAGCAATGATGTTGATTTAGAGTGGACTTTATGAAATACATCAACAAAATCTTAGTCCATATTGCAGGAATTGCATTTAAACACTTTAATAAGGAAATTCAAATCCAAATATTAATATTAAAGAATTAGGGGACTGGACTATTAAACTTTCTTTAATTATTTAGATAAATTTAGATAATGAATAGGTCTTGATAAAATAATAATGACATTAAATAACTTGTTGGAAGTTAATAATAAATTTATAACCGAATAACTTTTTGGGGTCCTTTCATTTTGTGGGTTTCTAAGTATTTGAAGTCAAATGCAATACTTTAAGAGCATAAAAAAAAACGATTTGAAAATAAAATTTTCTTCATCATTTAATTTGACATTTGTAAAGAAATGAAATTTTTTTTTTTTTTTAAACTTTCGTTTTTTTTTAATATAACAAAAATCATACATCATAATAAAATCCATCATATCATAAATTATATCATTTTGAGTCTTAATTATTCATGCGAACTTAATGAATCATACACGTAAATAAAGATAAAAAAAAAATATATATATATATTATTTCATATCATTTATATAAGTATAAAAAGTTGATAGTTTACTAAGCTATCAACACGATCCAAATATATTTTTAATATAACAATTTACAAATCAAGTTGCAATTAAAACCGGCCGCAAAGAATAAATCGGTTTTATTTCTTGGAATTATTTGAGAGGTACTCGCATTATCCAAAAAGGGAAAAACTTGGATCATTTCATCGTCAATCATTCTCACTTTATGATTACTTCTTGTTAAATGTAATCTAACTTCAAAGAAGGAATAAAATGGTGTTTTATTACTATGACGGCTACATAATTTGCATTTATAAATTCGTTTATTATTCAGGCCGCCATGAAGAAAAGCTCCGCATAATGTCGTGAGAGGTGCTGGATTGTTCTTTAGACATTCGACTTCTTCACGGAGTTGAGGGATTAGGGTGCTCATGAGGAAATCATCGTCCCAAAGGTTACGTGGATCTTGATTCGTAAAAGGAGGATTACGAAATGATGGACACCAGGGTAAGAATTTTATCATGGAACTTTCAAAGATGGAATTCATCCTGACAATTGAATTGTAATTTGAAGACGAGTTCGAACTTTTTTCCATGTTATTATTTGCTACAGATTGAATGTGATTTTCTTGTTGACGTTCCATCTCTGGTCGCAATAAGGTGAAGATCATTTTAACGATATCCATCTGTCGCGTCTGTATAGCGACGTCAACCTCCATACGTCTTTCTATCTCTTGCCTTTTTGATCTTAACATTGCGGCTATTTGCATATATTCTGGAATTAATTTATTACGAAAACCAATCCAAGCTCGTTTGGTGAAAGGGTTTGTAGAAGGTGAGACGATAGCTTTATTATAGGTCATGCATTTTTCAACCACCGACATTTTAAATCTTGGAAATCCGTATTCATTTTTTTCTCCCCTTATTAAATTCTCAATTGCCATCGTACGATCATCCCTTTTCTTTGAATTTTCCATGTTCTTTGTCCAATATTCATTTTCATTTTCTAATTCCCTTTTCATCACTTGTTCCATCTTACGACGTCCCTTTTCCCGATTTTGTTCAATCCACTCTTTACGTTCTTTAACATTTAATTTATTAAATTCGTTATAAACCTCATGAACGTCTTGGATCCAATACAAGCTTGAAGGTTGAATTTTCGGACTTTTATCACATCCGGATTTATAAAGTCCGGTAGTAAATGTCAACCCGCAAAGGATGTCATCGGGGACTGTTGAATCTTGAGAAAATATTTGATTCCTAACTTGATCCATCCTAAAAAAAAAAAAACCGCAAAAAAAAAATGTTATTTATTTTTTTTTTTTTTTTTAAAAAAAAAAAACAAAAAGGTTTTCTCTTCTCACCTTATCGTTCGTTCCTCAAGACATTTCTTGCAACTCCGTACGAGAAAGGGCCAATAAATTTTTCTAATCCTTGATTTTCCACAAAATTGACACCCACGCTCAGAAACCAGCTTCACATATTGAAGTTCGGTCATACCTTCAGGTGGTGGTAATTGTACAAAAGGTAAGAATGTCATACGAGAATTCCTCCAAATTTCTTGGGTGGTCAACGAATTCGTTGAGCAAAGATATCCGTAAAACTTTTTACATACACGAGCGAGGGAGAGGAGATCAGTAGGTGGTAAATCCTTACAAATGCTTATGAAAATCTCGGGAGGAATTTGCGTAGCGAGGCATGGTTTCTCGATAAGAAATTGTTGATGATAATATTCGTATTCCATATTTATTTTTTTTATTTTTTATTTTTATTTTTTTTTTAATTCTGAAAGAGAAAAAAAAAAAAAAAACCAAAAAAAAATTTTTTTTTTTTATTCCTTAAATCTTTATTTTTTTAATTTTAATTTTAATTTCTTTTGAACTCTTTTTATTTTTTCCCTAATGTAATGAGATAAAAGGCGAACGTTGAAAATTCGAACTTTAAATATCAATTCAAGGATAATTATTATCTAATGATTCTTAGTAAACTAAACATGGAAGTCATTTCATTATGTTGTATACCATTATTGTTTGACATCTCAATGAACCCCTATTTCCAATTTCTCGGTTCTCTATAATACAATAGAATTGTGTCGGAAAATCTGAAAGGCTTCTTTGTATACATAAAACCACAAAAAAAAAACAAACATTCGCCGGTCAGTTCAGGTTACTATTGTTTTCGAAAAAGGGATTTACAACAACATTTTTACGACATGCAATTGTCAAGAAATAACAGGATGAAACATGGGGTTTACCATTTCAGGAAATTAAATTGGTTTGAAAAAAAAATCATTTCACGGCCAAATTAGGATTGGAAATGTTCAACCAAATCTAAAACGAAAATAGGGCATTTTTTTTCAACAATGACAATCCGATTCAAAAAGTTACCAACTTTCGAAACCTCACAAGTTCCCTGGGATTTTCAAGTGTCCAGATTCGTGGCAAAAGCTTGGCTTAACATCTATTGCGCCAACTAAAAACGTTTCATTTTGAACAAAGGTTTGTTTTAAGTCTCGTAACACAGTTTGGTAAATTACAAGGAGTTATCTGGGACTGGCTCGTCACACATTCCATTGTCAATAAATTTGGTTGGTCAATGACAACAAATGATCGAAGATCTGGTGATTTTTCCCCTTAAAAAGTTTGCTAATTAAAATATTACTCCATTGGTCTATTTTGGAACTGTTTGAAAAAATATTGACATCAGGATAACATTGCTACATATAAACGATATTTATATACTGTTTTAAGCCTCAATGCAAATTTGAACAAAAAAAAAAAAAAGTTGTAATACGTAATTACCAAAACGGGTAACTTTTTTATTGTATAAATTAGGTTAAAACAATTAATCCTACCCTTTTAAGAGATGATACATTGTGATATCACGTGATAAGCAACCTTTTTAAAAAAAATGATCGGGTTTTCAGATAAACCGAATCATTCATTTGTGCGAGCAATTCAATAAAGATGATTTGAGATTTGTTGATTTTGTAAATGGAAACATGAAAGCATTAACTATCAGGCCAACTAATAATATGCAAATGTGGCTTAAATGTGTCTCGGATGATGAAAAACATCTATATTGTCTTTATGTAAATTTCATGAACAAAGCAAATCACATCATAGGCAAAAGCCACAAAAATTAATCTATCGTTCCCGACCCAGCTAACCTATCTCTATATAAAAATACAAATATTCAAAAAAAAACCCGAAGAAAAAAATACAAATACGAATACCTAGTACATCTAAAAAATAAATATATATTAAATGGAAAATATGATTCTTCGTTATATAATAAACTCCCCATGACTTATTTTATTACAATTCTCTAAATTCATCCCGAATAAAATTAGATAGCACATGCTAAATATAAATATATATATGTATATGTATAAAACTTCTTTAAATATTACGATCAATACTTGACCTAATTTTCTTTTTTTATTTCACTTTCATACACTGATTCCTTTGAAGATGGAAGAACTTGTTTACCTGTTCTACCTTTGATAATCAACCCCCAAAAAAATTTTCTCAATAAAAAGAAAAAAAAAATGAATTCATAAAATTTCAAAGGTCAAATATCCATATAACACAAACCTTTAGATGCATCATTTGATGAATAACGCACTTATACTTTTAATATTAAACCAACTTATTATCGCGTCGTAGATTGAATTGTCTCTTTTGATCATATTTCAATCAAAAATTCCACGTTGCATCATCGGAAACGCTCCTTAACAAGGTAACCACTTCTGTCACCGTTGAATAATTCTTCTCGAAATTAGGAACAAGAGCAAATGCAAATAGCCACACGGTGCATGATAAAGCCATGACATGTATAATTACACGCGCAATATCAAAATCCAAAACATATAATGGAGTGTGGATAATTCGAAGAATTGTATATATAACGGAAAAGCTAAAAATGAATTGAATGTGAACATATATTTAGTAAGCTTCATATCATAGATTTGTATATATTCACATTATTAATTATCCTAACCTTGTCCTATATTTCAAAGGTACTTTATTTAATGATGCAATGATTACTGCTGTAAAAAATGCTATAACGGAAAGAATAATAATGTGTTATAATTTAATGAAAAACATAATTATAATTTCATAAAATTAGCATTGATAAAAAATTAATTACCAGGGGCATTCTCTAATGCAACATTATGTGCTGCTACCATCCTAGCTAGTGCGCCTTTTAAAGATGATCTATGAATAGGGAGTCTTGGTTCCTAAATTTAGAGCAAATTGATGTTTTTAATTCGTTGAACTTTAGCTGATGAAACCGGTAAATAAAAAAAAAAATAAAATAAAATAAAATAAAATTGATACGAACATTATTATCATAGTATCCATTTCTCGAACCAGCAGCTTGAGCTATAACACTTAAAGACGCCGTTATCACATATGTCCAGGCAAACATAATGCCAGTCATAACGAACGGTATATCTTTTCGCAAAAAGAAGTTGAGTAAAAAAGGAAGAACAAAATCTTCAACAAGGAGTAGCTGTTGCATTGCAGCTGTTGCCAGGAAGCAGACCGGTGCAAGAACCACTAGGGCAAAAGTGACGATTCGTGGCGAAAGCCTTGTCATATTTGACCTCCTCGTTCTTTGCGGTCGAGAACCTCCACTTCTACTTGAATATTGCACTTTGAATACTTTTTTACTTGAAACGTTTGGGAAGGAAGTTGGAAACTTTAACAGAAAAGTTATATAAATAATGTAAATATAATTTCACTTTTTTTTAAAAAATCAATGTTAATTATTTTTAATGTAAAGAAAGAACATTGTGGATGAAAAACAAACAATCATTAATCATCATACCAAAGGGAGAATGCAACTAAAAATTAATGCAGCGTCATACAAACTTTTGTAGGATCTTTCCAAATTTAGGAAAAGAATAAAGCTTTTTTTTTTTATAACAATAATTCTTCCCAAATATTAAACGCGAGGTACAATAATTCTCCTTGACTTTTAAAGGAATTTTATACCTTACCTTTGAAATAATTCCACGAAAAAGGAAGTAACATTGTTGAACAATTTATTCACGAATGACGTTACACACACTTTATATGTGGTGTTAGTTTCATTTCGATTTCGTATATTATTATTAACTTCCTCATGAATTAATCTCAGCCAAAATTGCCGAAATTGCCAAAAGTACGGATCAAAATAATTGATTGGGTTGAGCTTGCATTTGATCGGAACAGACTTTTAAATGGGATTTAAAAGAATTTTAGAAAATTTCATCACAAATTGCCTTAAATTACTTTGTTTTTATAATTTATAATTAATTTCAGCTAAATAACTACCAAAAATCAAAAATGTATTAATAAATATTATACTAAATAAACTGATTGATAATAATATACATATATAATACATATTCTATGTAAATTAAAATAACTTAATGTTAAAATTTAACTTTAATTAGTATGATGGTTAATAAATTAAAAAAAAAGATGTATTATAATAAATTTGTATAAAATCATATAGATTTACATATATATAATATTTATAAAAGGTTATATTTAAAAATTACAAATTATATTTATATTATTATCCGATTTATTATCAAATAAATTATAATCTAATTAACAGAATAATTGTAAAATTCAACTTATATTTAAAAGACTTAATTAAATTATTTTTATATCTAATCTATATAATTTTTACAATTAAGTTTTTAAGTCAATAGTGTAAAAATTTTATAATTTAAATTTTCTTAAGAATTTTTATCAAATTTATTCAGATTATAAATATTTAAAATACTAAAAGACTTTATTATTTAATAAAATTGATTAAGCCGCTTAAAGTAATATAATAAATTTAATTGTATAATATATATTAAATAAAAAGAATACTTTCTCAAAAAAAAATTTTAATATTCAAAATTTAAAGTTTTACAAATAATTTAAATAAAAATTACTAGGAAATAAGAATTATTATAAATAATAAATACAACATTTGTAAAAGGAATTATTAGTTAATTATTATATGCAACCAAAATTTTTTACATTATATAGATTTATATTATCTTTTCACTTTATTTAAGATAAATTACAAAAAAATAAACTTTTAAATATTTAGAGTTTATTAATAAAAATATATTATTAAATATGACAAATTATTAAAAAAATTAGTATATTTTATTAAATTTATATTTTATTAATTTAAAATAAATTTAAATAAGTAACTTTAATATTCATTTACTTATTATAAAAAACTACTATATATTGATTATCTTATTATATTAAAATAATTATAAACTAATTATTATGTAATAGTTTATAAATAATATAAAAATAATATTAATTATTATTTTTGATTATTTATTTATTATTATATTATAATTCTAATTTAAGTAATATTTAATTATAATTTTATAATCTTAAAAAAATTTTAACTTACATATTAATTAATTACTTTTGAGAATTTTTTTTAGATTATTTATTATCTTATTATATTTAAAACTTCTGTGATTTTTTAATATATACTTGATAGTTTTTGATAGAATATTAATTTTTTATATAAATAAATATATGGAAAATTTGTGAGAAAAATCAAACTTAAAAATTTTTAATAAATTTTGATTTTATTTGCATTTTAGTTTTTGATATTATTGGAATAAAAATATAATAAAATCTTAATTTTAGTCAAAAAAATTCCTAAAGTTTAATTTTCTTAGTAAACTTGCATTTTTTTATTTTAATAATATAATAAATATATGTATATATTCTGTAACAAATATGATTAACTAGTAATTTAATTATAAATATTATCATTATTAGAAATAATTGAAATAATTGCAAAATATAATTATTATAATAATAATATTTAACCTTTATTTTAAATAAATATTTAAATATTAGACAAAATATTCAATATTATTAATATTATTTTTATTTAAAGATATTTAAATATTTAATACTTAATTTATTTTATATATAAATTAATAAATAAAATATTTATTATATACATTATAAATTTAAAAAATCATAGATGACTTTGCAATTCATATTTTCCTAATTAAGAAGTTACACAAATTTTAATATGCAGAAATATGCAAATACGTAAAACGCGTGAAAAATTTAAAATATTTTCAAAAGAACCATGGCAAAAATTTATCGCTTAAAAGGTTCACCAATAACTTCCTCAGCAACGATGTATTTTAACCTGTAAATGGAGAAGATTTAGTGAAAAATGCAAATCAAAGAGCTTCTCATTCGTGAATAACATCAAGAGAAGATATAAATCAAATCACTAGACTTTACAATTAATCAGTTTAAAGTAAATACTGCTTTACGTATCTTTCTTTATATTTACTGTTTGATTATACTTAATTGACTCAAACGTTTAACATAGTCATATGAAAAGAACATTGATCAGACCAAATTGATATTAATAGAAATAATGAAAAGCAAGCGGAAGATAGAAGACAATTGTGAAATTAGACTTTTTTACATAAATGTTTTTCACTTAGTAATTAAATCTCCAGAAATCTTCAATGTCGGAGAAGAAACATTTAGAGCAAAGAAATCAATGTTTCTCAAAAAATACAATATAATGTTGAATGAACAACAAACCATTGAAAGTAAGTTATCAGAACTACAACATTCTGTTTACTTACTATATAGGCGAAAAAGTTTTCGAAAAACTTAAATTCTGTGAAAATTTCTAAGCAAATTGTTAAAGAATTTCTAATTGCTCATCATGATGTTTCGCATCCTTACACAGAAGCCTATCATGCCTTCTCCTAAGACAGAATCTTCATAAAGTGAGAAATCTGAAGGATTGTCATCTCCTGTCTTGGAATTTTTATATAATGAGGAATTGATGACTCAAACACAAAAACGTAAAATGGAGATTAGGCTGTTGGTGTGGATTAATGCTAGACTTTTTAAGAATTTAGCGTGTTTCTTTTTTAAATTATGCATTTTCATTGAGAATTTGACATGATTGTCGATATACATTTATTCGGGGGAGAATATGCTATTGTCAAAAGCTAACAGAGATTCTTGGTAATATAAAGCTTTGGGTTTGTTGACGGTAAATGCGATAACTATTATGATATTTGGTATGACTTCAAATCACAAATGATTTTTGACCTTTTAAATTCTGTACGTCTACGTTGGATAAAAGATGAATCAGCCAAACTTATCCATTCCTCAAAAAGTTCCTAACAATGTTATTAACTTCATTACTATTACATCCTAAGTGATAACATTTTACAGAATCTGTAAGTTCTTTTATTCACATTACTTTACTTGATCACATACTGCATATGTTTGGAGATAAAATTAAAATCAATTCGATATGATTACATGACATGATATTGCATATTGACATGTTTTTTCAGAAATAGGCATTATGTGCATGGTAAACAATATTCAAATTATATCACTAGCATTTTTAGAGACATGTGTGCTAATTAATGTTATGAACTAGGATTTCAGTTAGAGGTCGCGTTAATGACTTAAAGGTTTGGATTATCCGCCAATCAAGAAATTGCAAATTCAGAAGTACGCCTTCTGTAAGAATGTCATTGCATGAGGCTTTCTCTCTGAAAGTTATTTTGAGAAATTATTCAAATGGAGGATATGGAAGACGAGGCTACAATTTCATGATCGCAATTTGTAGTAGAGATAAATGATTTCTGACTGATTGTTAGTTAACTTCTTTCAGAGTATTAATAATCTTTTCAATTCATTCTTTTATCCCTTTCTATATAATATTATTAAGAAATTTTTTTTTTTTGATGGGCCTACATTAAAACCAATGATTCACCAGTTTATCACTATTAATTTCGGGGTATCAATTGCTTTATTATGCAAAATTCAAGTTTACGAATTAGCTAAAAATTAATCCAAAGGTTTACTTATGTAATTTTTATATAAAATAATAGTCATTAACAACAAAAATTATTAATTGATTATCTAAGTTCGAACAGATTGATTAATTAGTTGTTTATTAAAACTTACTTTTTTTTTTTTTTTTTTTTTTTTTTTATTGTGAAATTGTATTAAGGGACCTCTCAGAATTCAGAATTCAAAATTTCATGCTGTCATGACGATCAATGTTTTTGTATTACGTTATATCTGACGCAATCTCCATATATTTGTTTACCTATTTTTGTTTGTTCATATGAAAATAAACTTTTTTTCTCCTTGAAAATTTTCTCTGGAAAATCTAAAAAAAACATCTTGAGTAAACAATATTATATAGTAAGCATAGATAATTTAATATAGATAAATAAAAATGAGCTACGATGATCCAAACTCAGTTTTATCGAGATCACGTACAATTAATCCATATCTATACGGACTTAATATCAATTCATTGAATAATACAGCTCCTCTTTATAACGATCCTTTCACGCATATAAATCATATTGGTGGTGGATCACCGAGTGGTGAAAGAAGTGAAGGTGCAAACTTAAGTGAGAAAGTTATTGCTAGACTTGTTCATTTAAGTTTATTTTCAAAGAAAAAAGAAATTCAGAAAAATGTTATTACAAATTATTATGATGCTAATGCTGGTACGTTAATTCACCAAGGAACCAATTTACTTAATTTATTGAAAATTTATCAACGTTTTTTAATCTCTTTTAGTCTTTGAGAATCCGATTTTGCTGGTTGAATCACATGATCAGATTAAAAATCAATTTCTCTTGCTTTCCACGTTCTTTTATTCCATAACACCTGAAATACAATCAATTACTAATAGTGAAATAGCTGGAAATCATCATTTGGTTTGCATCGATGCCTTGATTAGATATCGTCTTCCTCTTCGCATCCCTCCATTTCCGTGCTTGCGTATAATATTTGGCAAAACTAATCAATGTTTTAACAACGAATTTATTCTGCGTATAATTTCAAGGTTTGAGTTCAATGAGCAACATAAAATTGTTAGACATGAGGATATTTGGAGTTTAAAAGATTTGGTGGAATCTTTACCGATTATTGGTTGGATGTATGCAGAAATTGCAAGGAAACTTACGGGAATGGTTACCGGAGGTGTTGTTATTGCTGTTAAAGGATTGGTAAATACTTGGGATAAATATTAATAAGCTATCAAATATCATTGTTATAGTTGCGCTTCATTTTGCTTCATTTTCAACAAAGAAAAAAAAAAATTTTTTTTTTTTCGTCATATCGCAAGAAACATTGACGTTTTCATAATTTTTTAATATCTTTTCTTTATCTTTCTCCTTATCTTTTTTATTCACCAAAAATATACAAACTTGTGTTATGATCGTTGCGTTCCTATTTTATTGTCTAGTTCAGAATATTTTTTTTCATAAATTGCTTTATGAATTATTTGAATATATGCTAAAAATTTATTATTATTATACGTGCGTTTTGATTATAATTTGTTCTAGGAAAAAAAAAAGATTGAAAATTTTTTTTATATCTGATTTTTTTAGATGATGGTCAATTATCAAAATTAATCGTGAGAGAAATAGATGATGGTCAATGCTCGTAATTTAAATTGTGCCTAATTTAAGTAAATTCCGCCAAAATTACACAAATTGCGTAATCAAAGTAATTTTACAAATTTTATAATTTGCAGAGAGATGTTACACAATACAATCTATCCTCTTTATTTTCTTTTTTTTTTTTCTTTTTTTTTTTTTATTTCTGAAAAATCTATTCAAAAAATGATTGTTTCAATTCCCTCGGAATGTTTACAAGAAATATTTGAACATTTACAAGACGACGAAATTTCATTACATTCCATATTATTAGTAAATCGCTTTTGGTGCAAAAATGTTTTACCAATTTTATGGAGACAACCCTTCTACTTGTGTGCAAAGAGAGGTGCTTCTCCAAAACTGGTGGAAACTTATATACAATGTATGGATAATGAATCGAAATGTCAATTGAAACGCGAATGTAAAATACTAAGACGAAAGATATCTTCAAGAATTCAGCCAAATTTTGATTATGCTAGATACTTGAGAAGGATCGCTACAAATGATTTATGGGAAAGTGTTCGGAAATGGGTTAATAATAAAGAATCTAAAACTTCACCCACTCTTAATCCTTCTAACACTAAAGAAAACACAAATACAAACATTTATTCATCAAGTAATAAACTATCTTCATCTTCCACTTTTCATGATCATTTAATGAGTCCTGATCAAAAGATGATCATATGTGTGGTAAAAGAATTGAGTTTGTTGTTTAATAAGCAATGTTCGGCATTTGATCAATTGACATTTAATACTGATCATGATGAGGTTATAGGTTTTTATTTATTAAGATGCTTACCACAAATACGAGAATTTAATTATTCTGGATGGGGAAATAAAGAAAGGAATTTGGATGTTGCTACTAGATCAAGCAATTGTCAAAATTTGAGAAAATTAATTATAGAAAAGGTTTCGACAGAATCTAAACGAGGTGTATATGGTTTGAAATATGGTGGTATTGGAAGGCTTGAACCAATAACAACCTACTTTCCTATACCAAATCCCATCAGAACGCAAAGGCATACGGGCCTTCGTGGTAGTGTCGCTCGTACAAACGCAATGATCAATGATTTAATATTATCATCACCGTATGTACGACATAATACATATAATATCACTGAAAATATAGATATAGGAACGACAAATTTATTGGATCCCTTTTATGAAATATTTACTTCTACATACACCACAGAGACGCAAATGTCAAAGAATTTATCATCATCTCGTAATGATCCACCCAGATCAGAAAGAGAACATCTTGAAAATTTAATTAAGTCACAAAAAAAATTACAATATATCTCTATTTCTTTTTGTGATTTAAATTTGAACTTCATCAATTCTCTTGAATCTCAATCAAGGTCATTAACTTATTTAGAGTTTGATACAATAACTTTTGAAAGGAATGTTGACTTGAAATTGTTTGGAATTTTTGTAAATTTAAAAACGTTAATTTTAACAAATTGTTCTTGGGATAATAATATTATCAGTAACAAACAAAACTCCAATAATATTAAAAGTAATTATGATAACCTCCTTCTTCAACCCTCTTCAACAACGTCTACGAATAATGATCAAGGTGATTTCAAACAAAAGAATTGTTGTAGTTACACGAATTCTACGGATAGTTATTCTTCTTATAACAAATCTGATGATCCTTACTCAACATCATCATTGTTTTTCCTATCATTACAGACATTGAGTGTTCGAGCATCATCAATTTCTCAAGATTCCTTATTGTTTTTGATAAGATCCTCTTCTTATACGCTTCGTTCACTTACATTGAATTGTCAACATGACATTGATTTCAATTTGCTCACCTTTATAATCACATATTGTCATCATATCAGTGAATTGGAATTCTACATCGAAGTGCATGATTTGATCGTTTGTTTTAGAATATTGAGTGAATATCACACATTGAAGAAATTGAAGTTATGTAATGGGACATGGGGAATTAATCCAAGCGAGCAATTGTTGAAAATAATAAATTTGATACCAAAGGGACTGAGGAAATTGATTTTTCCTAAAATTTGGACTTTTAGTTACATAGCATTGGATGAATTCTTGAAAAAATGTGATGTGAAATTAGAAGTTTTAGAATTAGTTTATTCATATTATAGTTAATAAAAACAAAAAAAAAAAAAAAAAAGGATCAAAATGATTGATTCAATCCTGTAAAAAAAGAAAAGTAAAGAAAAAATCAAATAATAAAGATAAATTTTCTTTGAAGTCAATTCTGGGATCATACAGAATTATTTAAATTTAGTAAACACATGTAACAATATTAGAAAATCGTATGTTGATTGTTATTTATTAAATTTATAATTACATCTTTAAAAACAATTAGGTATAACTTTCATCTCCAATAATAATGTAGATAGAAAAATGAATAAAATTTAATGCAATAGAAAATTTACCAATTATACTTTATTTTTCATAAATGAATACCATACATGTATAAATTAAAATTAACCACAAGATTCTTGAGAATTACACGTCTTCGAAGGACCTTCATCCTTATTTGAAAGTAAAGTTTCGGATTTAACCTTTTCCAAAGCTGCTTTTATGTCAGATTGGATTGAAGCTTCACCATTTTTGGGGGAAACGAGTTCACATGCTTTCAACACTTCCTCGAGAGGTGCATGGTCTCCCCATACTTTTTCTCGATATTGATAAATTACTTCTTCTCCTTTTGTGTCAGATTTGATAATGTAGAGTCCTCCCAAAACTCTTCCATCTCCTTTAAAGTTGCCCCCGACACCCTATAAAAAATTATATTATTGATTTCTGTAGTTGGCAAAAAAAAAAAAAAAAAAGGATCGTTCGCTTACACTCTTGTAATTTCTCCGGATGTTTGACCATACAGATGGCTTAAGTATATTCGTTAAACCCGCATATTGTATTTTACCACCTCTAATGTTAGAAGTTAATTAGTATAAGAAACATAAAAAAAAAAGGTAGCATGAACTAATTAATTTCACATACCCAATTGCACTGAAAAATGATTTTTCTTTATCGAAATATACAGTTCCTTTCCAAAATCCTTGATTAAAATCTTCAACTTCATTATTCAGATTCTCATGTACAATTGCTACCATATTTAGACCCATTTTTTCCGATATTAATTCACGCAGAGAAGAAATTCTCATAGATTCTTCCCGACATAATTGGCAACCAGGTCGACGAACTTGTAAAAATAAAATAAATGAGATAAAGAATACTTGCAATACCAAAACATTCTCATAATCGATTCACTTACCAACTAATATCAATGCAGGAGTACTTTTCCAAATAATTCCTGCTTTAAATGTTGTATTGTCTTTGAGTTCGGTAAGGGTTATATCTCTTAAGACTTCAATGGGAGTAAAGTCTTTGGTATCCATTTCGGCAGTTTGTTTTATGTATTTGGCAAGAAAAAAGCTATCCGGAACTTTATCAATGAAGTCTTTACCAACTTCGGTATTATATGCGAAAAGGGAAACACACACTGCGAAAATAGTCACGAGAATTATAGATTTAAAGGAAGAAGCCGGCTCCGTCATGATTTTGAGGGAGATGCTGGAAAAAAATCTTTTTTTTTAATTAATCTGGTTTAGTTTTTCTACTAATTCATCGAACATGTCATAATTTCCTCATAAACTTCCCATTCGTGAGAAATCAATTTCGAGTATATTTATAATACCGAAATTTCCTACATTTTATTGAAGATCCCGCAGTTTCGGTTTTGACCGGATATAAAATTCAAAAAAAATAATTGACTTTTACAAATCGTTCATAATTAGATCCTTAATAGTTTTAAGTGATTTAAACCGTATCAGCATGAAACTATCATTTAAAGAATTTATTCCATATATGCGCGATGGATTGAATCGATCATTAATATATATTACTATATATAAAACAATCAATTAGTGTATGTATATAATGAATTCACTATACACAAACAGCCCCATCAAGCAAAAGCTCGGAGAAAAATTCCCCGAGCACCATTAATATCCCTATCCATCACTATTCCACATTTATTACATTTAAACAATTTGTTGCCACCCGGATTATATTTAATAAATCCACAACAACTGCATAAAGCAAATAGATATTAAAAATGATGAAAAAATGGAATAATGATCTTTTTACCTAATTCTTCTGCCTTGAAAATAAGGGTTTGGTTTAATTAACCGACAATCATTTTTACCGACAATCATTTACATTTTACCGACAATCAAATTACCGATATTTAATTTTTTTTTTATGGGAAATTCATATGACAATTACCAATTAAGAAAATTCAAATTCACATACACTATTGATATCAGATGATAAATACAATATTTATTGTAAAATACAATGCAAAATATTACTTAATATAGAAAACATATGTGATCAATAACAATTTTTTTTTTATCTTTCTTCAAAATTTTCTAATGAATAATATTATTTGTGAAGCTGTTTTTTCTTTTACATGATAAATGGCGTAGTTATTCACATGTCCAATATAAATGATATACTTACTGCGCATGATATTTTTAGAAAAAAAATATAATTCCAGCAAGAATTTCCTTCATGCTTCGTGCTTCTGATATTGTACCGCTATGCATTTTCAGGTGATAAGTCTACCAAGCATAGTATAAGACTGTCAATGATAATTTTGATTCTACTAGCAGATACAAAGTTTTACACAACCTAACATTTGTGATATTGTTTATAGAGAAGAGATTTTAAAATGTAAATTAAAGGTAAGTATATCTTAGTAAATATCTCTCTAGATATAGAACAAAACTTATTAATTGATTCTGATCTTAGTGTCAGTAAAAATCTAGACAGAGGATAGGATGAGATTAAGATAGGTAATGATGATGCTGATGAATTTGAGATAAATGATGATACTAATGATAACGATGAATTCTAGACAGTTGATTATGATATTGAAGATGATGATGATTAGTAAGGTCCTAGTAAACTATATACTGAATATGATTATATAGGATAAACTTCTTCAAGCCAGTTAGTTTGTCATAGTAATATCATGCTTAGGGAATTCACCAGATGCTTTTTGAACAGGTAAAGGATGAATTCTTTGATGCATTTTCTAAATCTGATGCATTTGGAAAAATAGATCACAATACGCTTTTGAAAGCATTAGCTGATCCTAAAAAAAGTTGGTGAGTATTAACACATTTTGATCTTCAAATACCAAAACAAAAATAATGTAATATGGACTATTGCATCACTTTGCTCCAGCAAGATTTTTTTTTGTGAATTGCTATTGATGCGTTACCTTAATAATTCAAGCTTTGATGATATGATAATTTTATACAAGAGTAAAATTGTTCAATGTTCTAAAGAAAAAAATTTTATTAATGTATACAAAAAAATAAATTCAAAGCTTAGGACTAGCCTGTAATACATGATGAATTTTCTATGCTATTATACATGTAAAGTTCCTTATGACTGATTATTACTTAATAAATTTTTTCATTCTAACTCTCTTACTATCAGAAGAGTCATCACTCTCTACTAGTGTTCCGCAAAATCGGATCGGATCGGATTTTATCCAAATCCGATCCGATCTGATTTTCATTTTTCAGGATCCGA